AGATATTATCTGACATAACACTAATGTCATACAACAATTTATGTGAAATTCTAGACCGTCTTTAAATATTGACAACCAAAGGCTTCTTGTGTTGTATAAGTACTGCATACTACAATGACATTGAGGGTACAATATGCTTACCAACGTTTATCGGTGACTTATTAGGTGATATTTGGATCGAGTACAATAAAATGAAATGGTTCGTATAGACAGGAGAGTAATTTAATTCTGCATAGTAGATCCTCATTGTCACTGATTACTTCTTCACATGTCTTGGGAAAATCAGCACTTGCAAAGCTTCAGGGGGAAAAACGGAAAAAACCTATCCTAGGTTACCCCGTTAATAGTTCGGAGCAACAGACAGGAGTGTTTGTATACTCTTACCCAGCATGGTGTTTTCAAGATGTTGGCAAGCGTCTCAGGCACATCTCTCTCAAATAAACAATTTCAGAACACAGTCCTGTTCAAATAATCGAAATGGGCAGAATTACTATTATTGTTGACTTACAGTACATGTTTGTTCAAGCATTTGATGGAGAGGGAAGTTATTATCATAGCCTGGACGATAACCATTCCGATCCTCATGAGTCAACGATATATATGTCTTGAAAAATCTAAGCAGTATGATGACAACCAATATGTCAGATACAACCGATAGGTGATTATGACATACTACACTCAAACACTTGGTGACACGGGTTATATCTATAAAATATTCTGTTGTGTTTCTAATTAATTCTTTCAAGTCTGACCACTTTCGTATGTCTATGTATCATATTTTTGGCAGTCAATTCTTCGTATGATTACCCTAAAAGTATATCCCTCTTATTATATTTTAGGATCTCAAAAAAGATCCCTATCTACAGACTATTACTGCAGAAACAACCCAAGGTGATAACAGTTTCTTGGTAAGTTTTAAAGTTGTTTGTGCATATGATGTACTTGTATATTGGGATACTTTGCAAGTTAAAGTAATTAGTCGCTTTGATAGTGTTATAAGAAGACGAAGATTATCAGAACTGTGATATCTTAGCGCAATACATTTCGAACAATTTGATCACACATATTCTTGTTAAGAACATTTATATATAAAAATAAAAGGTCAACTAAACTATTCAATGGCTTAATTATGAGAGTTCTTGGGAATACATTTAATTTGTATGAGACTTCACGTATTTACCCGCTACGTCCTTACATGCTGACCATGCTTCTCTTCCTAAATTATCACTTTCGGAAACAAATAATCAAGCGTAGCTATACATTTTCACTCGTAGCTCAATTAGTCATTTATATAAGGAGAGAAGCAAAACAAACATGTTCCGTGCTTTTGTATTTGAGAACTATTTTCCATGACAAATGTTGACTATTTTTACTGTACTCCAGCTTTAGAATTCTGTGTTCTAAAATCTGTGAATTACTTTAAATCGATATGAGAATAAGTTAATTTTATTAAATTCGGCCTAGTGGCGGAAATAACGAAAAATGATATCACTGTTTATTTCAAGGCTGTCTAGGAATTGAACAAATTTGAGGTATGGATTTCTTTATTATTCTTATAAATTGGTCACTTGATTGTGTTTCGTAGTCAATAGTTTTTATATTTTCGCGACCGTGACATTATCATCACAATTGTGTATAAAAAATAGGTCCCGTTTATTCACATATCGTGTAAATACTAATTTATTCAATTCATATATGATTCTCTTTGTACCTGTTTTACTTTTTATCTCACTTATTCAGAAGAGATTTATGGAGAAATCCGACGAATTATCATCGAGAAACGCCGTGAAACGAGTAAAAAAGCGCCATACATTTTGTTATCCCGATAAAAAGTCTATGGTGTCCCAAGATGAAGCAGTTAGCAATATTATTAATAGCACTACAAATATTAATAAAACCATTAACATTACCAGTCATCCTACGTTTGTCAATAAACATATCAACAGTAACACATGTCATAATCTTGAAAACAGGAGTAATAATAATGTTACAAGAGTAAAGCTAGTGTCTGAAATTAGACCCTCAAGTTTTGCTAATGAAGTAAGTTGATTTTACTGGTAAACAAAGTAATATTTTGTTGTGTCAACTGATAACAGAAATATTTTTTTATTATTTTTTAAATGGATAATTTGGTTGGAGAAATGTTTGTCATTCTCAACGCCCTTTAAGATCCATATACTATTTAACATTACAAGTAAGAACTCTGGTGTACAAATCGCTTCGTGGATGTTGAACTAGTTCATACAAGAATGTGTGATACATAAACCAAATTGTATGGTAAACTCTCAACAGAACTCCATTTTGTGACTACTGTTACAGTTTAGCTTGAAAGAGACCAAACAATCATTAATATCCTATTTTTATTAGCTTATTAATCAATTTACTATTAAAATATCTCACTAGATAGTTTCATCCACTTAAATTTATTATCAGGCTCAATAGGGACTAGAATCCCGAATTACTACCTGACGGGAACCTTCTTTTTCTAGCGATTTATGACTGGGTTCATCTTCTCTTTGCCGATTCGTAAGTTTCCAACTACCTATATGTGTATATCAGTGAGATAACACAGAGATCAGTTACCTTTTTCAACAGTATTAAGTACCCTCAATTTAGCTAGTATGATCTATACTTGTTTGTAGTCCTCATTTAATTTTATCTTCCCCAAACTATTTACCAGGTATATGTTATTCATATTTACGCAAAGAACGTAAAATTAAATCGGTTAATCGGATAACAAATAAACTAGTTGCTGGAATAAACTACACCCAACGAGTCTTAAAAGTGCTATCGCATCTTCAACTGATGTGAAATCATTAGAATTGATATAGATAACTTCGAAAAAAAAGAAAATAACTTAGCCGCTCCTGTTATTTTACTTCGAAGTGATTTAACAAATTCAAATTATGACCCGAAAGTTCGAATATTTTTAAACTACATTATACCTTAATATCAGTTGAAGAAGTCATTAGTTGATAGGTAGGTGAGTTTTCCACTTCCTATAGTCTTCTGTAATAATTATCGGTCATTTTGGTTTTTAGCACTGATAAATATTTAGTTTGACTTTCCAAGTACCCCCATGAATTGAAAAACATCAAATGTAAAGATGGTTGGAAGGAAGTTTCGTGATATCCTTATCAAGAACGTGAATTATATCCATTTCCGTTGTAGTTTTAGAGCTCAAAAAGAATATGAGCATAGATTTCAGATTAGTTAAACATATTCCCGCGGGTCATTAAAGTTTTTATTCGCTATTTTTTTTTAAACAAAGTAGCTTGAATAACCAGTTAGTCATAACTTTTACCTTTCTAAGCAGATTTCTTACTCTTTTATTCATGAAAACTGAAATAGAATCTTAAAACAAATGATGTCCAGTTTTCACCATTAATTGAAAATGGCAAATATCGAAAATGTCCAATGATACATGAAATTACAGAATCGAAAATGAGAAGTAAGTTTATAAATTTTATACAAAAATCTGTTCTTTTTTCGGCAACTACAATCTGATAAATCTTGCTAATTTGAACGCTTTATTCGGTTCCTAAGCTATACTGGTAACCCGCAAGCTAGAACTACGCAGCGACCTGAACACGACAGAAAAGGCATAAAATTGAGCGAAAGCACTTTACTCCAAAGGTTCATTTTTGCACAGAAAAACACCGGTATTTATAGATGTTAACATTTGTTAAATCAACATCATATTTTGGCCAATCCGCTAAAAGACATATTATGCTACTGGCCAATAGTAGCACGCCACGTTGATATTCTAGAAAGCTCCATCATGCTCTGATTGGCTAGGACTCTTCGGCTCCTTTAGGGCCTCTGGAGGCTCCATTGCAGTTCTCGGAAAGCCGACTCAACATAATCACATTTAACAGCTTTATTATTGTTACGCTAATATTTTTTTCTAAGAGCAGATGTGATACATGATACCAACGAAGGATTGGAAAAAAGAGAAACAATCCATCTCCATATATTTCACAATCAATTAATTATGAATAATATAGGGAACAGGTATGCTTATATAAGCGAGTTTTGACTCTCGGATAATTATTTAAATTAGAGAGCACAGAACTGAGTCGAATGAGCCTAGTTTTATCTTCATGATGTCATCATCAGTGACGAAACTAATCCCTAAGACGTTGTTAGTTAGATTAACCAATACATAATCAATGTATTTAAAAAATTGAACGAGAGTATTGTTATCAGTAGTGGATATTTCAGATCCGATTTTTAAATTATTAGTCAAAATAATTCTAACTTTTATCAAAATATTCCAATTGGGGGGAGGGTTATTTTCCATGGCTTATAATTCTGATAATATCATCCTTTATTTAAACAAGTAGTTGATAGAATGACAGTTTCCTTCAGGAGGTTACAGCTGACCGACTCAGTGCAGACTGTTGTTTTACAAATCCTTATATTGAGAAGCAAAACTGAGTGGTCATATGAAAGATGAAGTTTATTCCATTTCAGTATTGAAATTTCTCTAGGTTTAGTTCAGTTTTTCATATTCGAAATGTGTTGTCTTGAATTTTAGACCATGCAGTTTGGAACTAGCTTACAAGCAACGCTTATACAGTTTGACTGCAGTAGGTGGCTTAATAAAACGAATTTAGTTTGGTGAACTGAAATCGACTTGTTTTCGGAATCCCTCCTAAGACTTATCCTTTCATCCTCTTTATATGGCGTACGTAAATAATTTTCAAGTTATTTTTCCCTAAGAAGTCCACATAAATAATTTTTGAGACCCCAACCATTATTCCAATTACTAGCGGCCTATACGAAAATCTATAGCATACAATTCGAAATCGGTATTATTTTCAGGAAGTTCCGACTAGTTGCAGCTTTCTGATCCGAAACATATTTATAATAAACAGTGTTATCTGCTTTTAAACTATTGAGACTTGTTTCTTGTATAACAAGTGGTTTGCTTGCTTACAACGCACCAAAGATTAATACGCAACACCATACATGTGACATGTATAAATATAAAGATATTTGTTTCATCCAGTAATTATTTAATAAATTGACACTGTACAAAAATTTATTCCACAATTACAATCGTTTGACTACTTTAATGCTTTTATTTTATAGCTTCCAGTTCTACAGGAAGATTTGAAGTGGTGTCTGTAGAATGTCAATCAGAATCTACATATGATCCAGAACAGGATGATAAGGGCGAAAACAACACTATGTTGAGAAGAAACGTTTGAGAAAACCAAAGTAAACACAGAAAATAGCAACCATCACAACAAAATATTGTTTACATTACGGTTATCTCAATTTTAAGATTTATCTTTAAAAAAACAAGTGTCTATCACTTCAAATTTATCAAAACTAGATCTATATTAGATTGACTGATTTATCTAATAAAAAGATGACGATTATCATTGTTTTTAATAAGTTCATTTTCTTTCCTGTAGTTATACATGAAGAACTATTCACTTGTATGTTCTAAAGAGTCCCATGAAAAATCAGCTACAAGTGCGATATGATCACTTGGGAAATAGGCGTTTGGGAGACCCAATTCGCTAGAATCTTGCACAATTTGACCATTCTCATTGATTAACTGAATCAACAACTCTTGGATTTTCTCCAGTGGATCAATAGGCAACACATGAATACATTTTAAATCTGAGTCTGTATTATACAGTATAACGTCCAAAACATTGTGAAATCCAGGCACCCAGTTAGTAAATTCAGGTGGATTATTTACATAAGCTGATTCAAATATAGGCTGGTAAGCAACCTCCTCATCAGATGGGCATCCATCACCTTGAGTGAGAGCGGTATACACATCACTACCTGGACACTGATTAATATCCCCACAAAAAACAATTGGAATTGGTTTACTGAAGTGAACATGAAAATAAGGAAAAATTAACGGAATGATTGACCTAGTAAAATAGATTAAGATTATTCTTATTAAAAAAGTTACAAGTTTTAGAGCCTAAGAAGCCTTACATATTCAAGTGATAATCAGCATCAAGAGTCTACATTATATACATTATATACACCAATAAACAAAAAAATACTTGCTTATCCGACTGTCTGTAATCCATAGCAAGTTTTGATAAGTAGTAATGAACTGTACGCGCTTGAATTATTCGAATCGGACTAGCTGAAGGATGAAAATAGAAGTGGGCATTAGAAACAATCAGTAAATGAGATTGTGATGTGGTCGACTTCTCTCGAAATATCCCACTGATCAGACACTGCGATAATGACTTTTGAATATGGGTTTCGGTATTCTCTTCACTAAATGAATGGCCCGTTGAGCTACAACTTAAGGTTGTGGAATTGAAATTGTTTAACATAGTTGATAAAAATGGAACGGTTGATGCATAATGAAGTATCGATGGTAGGCCGCATTTCGACACAAGTTCAAACCGAGCACGACGATAGAAGATTGCACAACCTTCACCCTTTGAAGTAAAAAAAATAGTATATATATATATATATATATATATATATATATATATATATATATATATATACTTTGCGAGTATTTAATCGATTCCCTAGCCACTAAGGATGAAAACCAAATGAGAATTCATGAGTCCAGTTACACACAATCTTTTAGTGAGTATTTTTAGCGTCAGCTTCATGCTTTTCAAACCTTACCACCAGTGACGGGAACAGATGAGGTGCGACATCTTTGAAGTTGGCGTGCTTTTACATCTATTTGTAGATGCTGGTTGTCTGAAACAAACACATTACTCCTGTCTTAATATAATTTTACGTTCGGACGTTAAATTGTTGTCCTGAGTCTTACAGCTCTCTAACCGATTTATCTGGCCTGACGAAACGACGAGTGTTCTACCCAAAATAGTTAATTCGGTAGTCACAACAGACACTTCCGATTGGCACGTTATAGTAGGAACCACAGTTGGACTCAACAGGCAGGGCTAGGTAGAAGGACCAATCAGGACTCAGAATTGACTCTAGGCTGCTCGTACTGGTTCATGCGTCCTTGGTCTGGTCAATAAGTCGGTGTTCTAATTGGTGATTTAATCATGTGATAATCAACCCAGCAAAAGACAAAACATAAATACGACTGTTGACGGTGGTATTGACGATAAGTTGTAATTTATGTACCAAACGTAAATTCATGTTCTTGGACATTGGGATTCACTGTATGATATCTAGCGGTATGAAAACATGAACCGGCACACCTCTAAGCTTTACGTTGATGATGACTAAGTAATGGTCCATAAATCTAAACTGGAAGTGAAGGGAGAATCAAGCCTTCAGCCTATTGATTGAAAAGCGAGAACTTTAAACACCACGTTACCGCTATCAAATTTTTAAACTACAGCACAATAAGTACCTATATATTGTCACTTGTAATAACTGCATTCAAAAATAACAAATTTACTAGAAACCACTAAACTATTTCATTATCAATAAACTTATACTGAAAAAAAATACACTACAACTACCTTTTCTTTTTCTGTGTCAACTTTAACTTTAGCCGGATCATTTGGATCAGTTATGACTGCTCTTTTGGCTAAGAATATGCCGTCCATATTTCGATGGGATCTTAAAGCATTTAGAAGGTATTTGTCGTAAACCCATCGATCGACTTCTTGAAGGCAGATAAAATCCGACTGATAAGAAAACAGTTCACGTAAAATCAACGGTAATCGGTAGGCTGAACTGATACAAGCCTCTGGGCAATGTTTGAATATATGGGCACGAGCAAAATCAGATCGAGCATACATTTCGGCCAGAATATTGTAACTTACAACACGTAAATGTTGTGAATCTAATTGATTGCTTTCAATCCACTTATACCTGTTAATTAATATGAGAATAAGAGTAAGAGGTTATGAGAGTGAGTGGAGAAACGTCCCATCTGACACGACAGTGTAATTACAATTTGCATACAAAAAAGGGAATCGAGAGTATAGCTAAAGTGATTGCTTAACATCAATTAAGGTCATACCCTGACTTTTACAGCCTACAATTCTTGCTGTTTTGAAGAATCTAACACTGTGGCTCCCAAAGCTCTATATCCCTTTGACTAACGTATACATAACCTGCATAATTCAATAGCTATGTGTTAACTAATATCATTAGCTATCTACATTTTTTGCGCGACAGGTTCAAACGTCATTCGTTAACCAACGTTTAGGAAAGCATCATTAGGACAAAATATAACATGAGGCATACTGTATTGGCCATTTTACAGTCCTGCTACTTCTTACTGAACTCAGAAAATTCCATTTTGATCCTTGCAAAGTGCATGCATTACCATCGATAAGTTTCTCTGAAAAAGTGGTTACCACCATTGGCTGCAACAAGTGCAGTTACTTGGCAGAGCATACCTTGAATTGCTATATTCAACGTATTACAAACAAGCTAGAAATGTAGAACATATTTATTTTAATTATAAATGTTTTACTTCATTATGCAAAACTACTTTTATGGCGAATGAAATTAAACCAATTATTAACGTTCTTACCTCTGTTGATGAAATACTTGATTAGGAGCTATAAGTACAGGTGATTTGCATTCAATCGGTTGTCCATAAGGATCAAAAAATTTGTTTGTTCCGAATGGGACACCGGCCATACCTTTAATGTCACGTACACGAACTTTCAACTGAATTGATAAACCAACATGATCTTCAGTTGGTATGAATAAGAAGCCTTTGTGACACGGTTTATCTGGCCATTTTTTAGACTGTGAATTACAGAGGAAAACAATCACACACATGATCGAAATAAACAAAAAAATTCAAAAAGATTGGATGTAGACATTAAAATTAACAGAATGAGTCGTAATACAGAAAGTGATTGAATGAAACTGAAGATTGCTACTGATACGAACTTTACTGTTCTATTAGACTGTCAATAAACCCAAAGCGGTCAAATTTTAAGCCTAAGACTTTTATGCTTAGAGTTAGGAGAAAACTAACTTAGTTTCATATTGACAGTTCACGTGCCACGTTTAGGCGAATTTAGACAAATTTATGTAGGTAAGCTTGGGAGAGATCTGGGATTTTTGGATTCATTGTGATGAAAATCACTATCGATGCTCACTGAAAAGTAGACAATAGTCTCCTTGTAAATTCCTCGTTTGCTACGAACCATGAAAAGAACTAGACGACATTTTAGATAAGCAACTACTGATTAGATGTAGTGTCTAAATTCATGTGAACTTGGATGTAAAATCCTGCATTTCCACATACTGTTAACATTACAAACTGAGAACTTTGTAGATTAATGCTGGATGCGCCTACCTACATACATTACGTAAGATCATCCAATTTGCATTGAGCATGAAAGATGTTTGATGATAGTGTATGTATTAAAAGTCAATGAACTCACAAAATAAACAGATTTCATACACTTTGCAAAGTTATTCATAAATCCAACTACTTACTGTTTCTATATTTTTTAAAGTTTAAATGTCGTAAATTCGCTAGAGATTAGAAAAGAATACTAAATACACACGAAATAAGATTTTTGTTGTGGTTATTTCATTCAATAGGATAACACATCCATAAATACACTAGCGAATTTACAGAAACAGCATCATAGTCAAGCTACTGTATATCAAATTAAAAAAGAACGAATAGGAAATATGATTACCTGTCCAACAAACCATAGAAATTCAGAATTTGTCAGACATATATTTTCTCCTTCGAGAAGCGGTACAACAGGGCAACCCACCATTGGAATTGTATTTAAACGGCATTGGATTATATGTGCTGGGTTTCTCTGGACAACATAAACAAGCAAGGTATTTTTTTCAGGATAGTCATGCATGGAAAAGTTTATTTGCAACAATAATTGATACGGTTTACTAGCATTATTATCAGTAGAGTCTGATAGAAAACAATCTTCAAGAGTCTTGTCATTACTAAATTCTGTTAAAGCAGTAGATCCATCTGTACTTTTGCAAACCAAGTTAGCTTTTGTAGCTAAATAAACTCTGTTATTGGTTGATATATTCCTTCCTTTCAAATACTGGCCATTAATGGAAGATATAAGACGAGTGAAGAAAACCGATAAGGGTTCGTGAACTGAACATTCAAAAGAAAATCGTCGTTGCTTACGATCCTGCTGAACTTCAAAATTAGTTGAAGCTGGGATCGAATATGGAATAAACAGTTCTGCAACCAGCTTCTTACATTCTTGATTAGCTATTGATCGGATAAAAAAATACGGGAAGAAGTTCGAAAACACATCCGAATCCACTTTTGAACAATCTGTTTGCATATGTATTTTGCGGTAACGTCTACAGAAGAGATATCGAGACGAAACTCGTATCCACATCAATTGGATTTAAACCGTAGAAAGATTTTTACAGGAACGCCTACAAAACTGTAGAATAATTTATTTAAATATAGTGAAAATTCCCATTTTGACATCTGGTGAATAAAGAAGGAACGAATTGAGAGAACTTTATTTTCAATTAGTTGAAAATTAATTGATAAGAAAGTTCTTCGCACAATTCGTTCCTTCTTAACTTATTTAAAATTGTGAAACCCGTTTATCGCACATTGTATATATAATTACTATATTTCTAGGCACATCTGATATATGTGGAAAGAATATAATCGCCTTAAAAGTCTACTAATACCGTCCAAAGTGGAAAAACCATTAAATTTAGTAATAACTACCATGGTTAGAGCAATATTTCTACTGTCCTCTTAGCATATACTGTAATACGATGTGCAGAATAGTTACGGATCTATATAATTATTTCAAATCATAACCAGTCGGTTGTTATTTCCGACATGCAATGGTACTAAAGAATTAAATAACTTAGTCTTCAAAAAGGAAACTACGACCGAAAATACACTATATCTAACAAACATGATTAGCTTTAAATACACTGTACCGTTAGTAATATCATTACTAAGTGTATTTAAAACTAATCAGGTTTATTAGATATAGTGTATTTTCGGTCGTAGTTTCTTTTTTGAAGACTAAGTTATTTAATTCTTTAGTACTATTGCATGTCTGAAATAACAACCAACTAGTTATGAATTGAAACAACTCTAATAATATGGATCCCTAATTATTCTGCACCTAACTGTATTAGGAAAGTGAAATAAGCAACTTCCTGAAAAAATGCTCTCAAAGCTAACTACCTACATGGAATTTGTGTGTATAGCAATGTATCAAACATGTAAAATCTGCAATCGAAATCGGAACAACATGTGCCTGAAAGGTGACAATGGGATTATTTCTACAAACCTTGGTCTGGTATATTCGAGTCATAAATCATCTGTTAACAAAACATTGATACAAAAGTAAATTGATGAATAAAAAGATAAAAATAGCCGAAGCCATCCAGTTGCATTGAACGAAATCTCACATTGGTTTCATAAATACCATGAAACTAAATAATTAGATGGGGATGAGGAACCATAGAAAAATTAAATAAATCAGAAAAGGACCTCATACTGTAATATTGAAATTGATGTAGAACCTTGGATCCTACCTCTCAATGATTAGCTACAGCACTGATACAAGTTATGATGACTAGAAGCAGAATCAAACTAATCGAGACAAATGAATACAGATTTTGAGGGCAAATACATATTTGTGAATAATATAATCCAGAACTCGAATGTTTGAAGTCTATCACTAACTTTTAGGTGTAGACACCATAACTAAGAAACTGAACACTGATTCTCCTCAACACGAACATAGCTGGAACGCCACAACCCTATAAACATTCTACGCCTATCGTGATAACTCTTAGTGGGTAGAAAATAATTGATAGCTATACGAAATACTAATTTGTAAACTAAATTGGAAGCTTTGATACCAGAATTTCATTGATGGCTTTTCTTGCTGCTAGAAACATTGAATATGACCGACAGTAGCATTGTTACAAACCAATTTCTTTTCTGGATAACCCATAAAAATCCATCTGATCTTTTGTTACGTGAACCATGTGGGGGAAACGCGAATGCCTGATTACTACAGAGAACATGATCATTAGCATGAAAAGCAAGCTATGAAGTTTACACATGAATCTGACAACTTTCATTTGTCGTTCTCTTTCAACGTAACTCATCCCCTTGAATTAAAAGTGAATGAGAAGTCGAGAGTACATGCCATACAACTGATGTCAACAATGTAGACGGCTCTAGCTAATATTCACTAACGAGAGATATGCTAAAAAATATTTCCAGATTTTGTGGTTGGGTAATATTAACTTGTTTTTTAAGGAAGATAACTAACACTACACCATTAATCAAAGGAGCTAGAGAACGACATACCTACTGGAAGACACATGCTTGAGATGACGTCCATAGACGAAAGCTGAAGCAACCAGCAGTAACTCTCCGTCTCCAATGGTTGTTAGACTGGCATAAATATACGTTTAAGATATTTTCAAGAACATAAACAAACGGATAAAATTAGGCTAATGTAGTGCTACACAGGTTAACTAAGTGCTACGACCCGATCCTTTGAAATCACTTAGGTATTCTATTTCAAAGACTTTTGTGGGACATAATGTATCTTTGTATAGGAAGCATCACTTTTTGGAAGAGCTAATATGGAAATAATTTCGTCAGGTGATGTTATGATCACATGCTGATGAGCGATCCAGCTGTAAAGTAGTTATTTACTATTGCTGTACAACTGTCAAACAGAAAGCCGTACTTTACTTGGTAGTTCTTAAACCATCTCGTACTGAAACTCTAAACTAGCCAGACTTATCTTGACTTACGGACGAGACCACTCCACCAACCTATCTACGAAATAACGTACTTGATGAGTCAGCTGGGTTTTTAGTGATAATCAACAAGCTATGATAACTTGATAAGTTAGATAGCACACAATTCTGCATGCAGGTTTATTGATGTGCGATGCGAAACCTATTTTCGTTTACTTCTCCAGGTCATTGCTGACGGATTTGCAACTGTTAACGTGAATGTTACACCCGGTTAACTAATATGAGAACAGGACTCTAAATTCCAAATCAAGCCATGCTTCCGGTATACCTTGAAAAAAACGACTACCTAAGAATTGGTACAAAATATGGGTAGTCTGTGACCTTACAAATATCAAGTTGGAAAGCCGGATCATGCATTTTGTGGGTTTATATTTTTGAGGAATGTCGCGTATACACATACAACTTACATCAGATGTTTATGCCCGGACTAAACCGTTTATCTTTAAAGATTTGCATAGTATAGAGGTAACATAAAATTTCTCAACTTACTGAACTGAGGAACTGTCTTTGTAAGTACAACACACGCATCATAAAATATGAAACAATACACTTAAACCATAATTGAGTTCTTTATGATAATTAGTTCTTTGGCAAAAATGATTAGAACATGTCATCAAGAAACAAAGTGAGAAACTGGAAAATAATACACAGGATTCCTCTTCAGCGTAAGCTTCAAAGGAAGAAACAAATTTTCATGAAAAACCGCTTATTAAACCAAACTTTAGATGGCATAGCAAAAATAAAGCTGATATACAAGCATATATATTAGATATATAAATAAGCATAATAAATTAACTACACATAAATTAGTCTAAGTGAAAACTGACTGGCAAACAGCAAGTGGATTTAGAAGAGTATCATGAATAACTCATAACTTGAGTGTTCATCTGTGGAAACTAATCTACTCGGTTAGTCAATAAAATTGACAAAAGAAAACTGAAAACCCGAATACGGGGTAAATTATTTCGACGTTTGGTAAAATAGAAATCCTGGGTAAAACTAAGAAACCATCGAGATATAATGTGACAAAACATCCCAGAATTTATGTGGAACAAAAACAAAATAAACTTGAGAATTTGAGGAAGACTAATGAGAAAAATTCATCTAAATTTGCGACGCTTCGATTTTCCGCCTAAATTCCCTTGCGAATTGCAACTTCCTGAGTTTAGTGAGTGTGATGAATGTATAGGAGAATCTGATTTACGATAAGCGGGTAACAAAGTTGGTACAGTCGATAAAATCGGTGGTGGAGAAGAACGTGAAGGACTAGAAGATGAACGCAATTGTTGACGAACTGGTTTGGTGTTTGAATGTGTGGTACCATCCGCAGATGTTGGGATATTTTCTAACGACCCTGTTGAATTTACTTCCCTCGAAACTGCTGAGTAGTCATCATCTGTCCTAAAGGATTGCCGTGATGTCGGGTTAGATGAAGTATTAGACGAAGATGACAACCCACCAGGACTAGACCGCTGGGAGAGGGATCGTGCAGGCCCAGTACTGGATCCATCAGACGAGGAAACAGAAGGGGAAAATGCAGAATGTGAACTAGAAACTAGGCTCGTGGTGTTGCTGTCGGTTGCCAGTCCCCCGATTGAATTTATGGCACTCGTGTTAGTGACGAAATGCATTACTGTGTTAGCACGGCCAAGCGCAGAAGGAGAATAATTTGCCATAGTGCACAGAACAGGTTTTTGTGACTGAAGAACAGATGGATGACTAGACGACACATATTCTGTACCAGAAGCAGTTCCGGGCTGAAATGAAGAAATACATAAATACAATAAAAGATAGTTGTTAAGGTTTATTCCAGAAATTAGGTAATATCTGAGCCAAAATTGGATGACTATAAGCAATATGTGAGCTTGGTTTATAATGACGGTTTGTTGCATCCGCCATGTAGAAAGCGAATGAGCAATGTGGTTAAGCCTACAGTCAAATGACTTACGCAAGATGGTAAATGTTATAATCTCTTTCTTACGGTTATGACCTAGCTATTCCTATTGCTTAGTACTCTTGGACACCAAACCACTCGACAAGACCCCAAATCAGAACACGGTTGAACAGGAAAGAGATTATATTTCAAATAACCAGGTTAGACGGAAGTAAGATGCAAGTAAGAAGCACAATAGAGAAAACGTTAGTATATTTATAGTTTTTACATGAGAAGATTCTAGAGTATTCTCCAACTATCGACTAGTGCTGATTGGATAAGAATTAGCCAATCAGCGTGCAGCAAAGCAATCGTGCATTGAGCATGCTTTAATCCAGTCTATGTCCCGCTAACAGTAAATATATATATTACAGGAAATCCATAGGTTGATGTCTAATTGTAATATCACTTGTAGTTCAGACTAACATATCAGAAACATAAATCAGGTAAAAATAAAGCAAACGAACGAGTGATGACTAATGAATGCTCAGGGAGAAAAGTATAAGAACACTCAATCAAGAACGATTGTAATTAAATCCAATACCGAAGCTAAACTTAGCCATTACTACTATATCTAAAAAAGCCGATAGTCAAACGTACTATTATGACTATCACGACTTACCACTTCTTATTATGATTACATAGCTCCACCTGGAGCTCTTCTAGGAATACTGCCGGTCCCAAGCCAAGATAGAGGTGTAGTGACTCACATTTATCACGAGAACACGACTGGTTTAATAAAAACAATTATTATTATAACCAACTGTACCAGTGTTTGTTTTAACGTGCTCTTGTTTGACTGTGCTAATGACAGCTATTTTGTGCTTCCATTCTTTTACTTACACTTTGATTGTAACTTCGCGCTAATTCGGTTACGTTCTGTAACCAAGGTTGTATCCTGGCACGATCTCGGTATCCTTTCGATGCCACGAGATCGCCAGCGAATACATATCTCGATTTGGTCCATTAATTGCCTTCTGGTATTTGGCTTCTCGGAGATTTTATGGATTTATTTGGTTACGTTCTACTTTCGCCTTCTTATCTACTTGGCACGTGTTTCTTTGTAGCGGTGTTCATAGTTAATCTCAACTCGACGCCACGCTACAGAGGTTTGGCGATGAGATAAACAGCATTTCACAGAAAACAACCCTGATAAAAACGGGTAATCAGAAAAATTCATTTAAACTATTTAAACTCTGTGAGCTGAAGAATCTTTGTTTAGAAGAGTTATAACGAATCATTGTGAAAGCCAAGATTATTCGGAACTCATAAGGTCGATGGCCATTCTGATAACCAGAACTAATCAATATAGGCGCATGGAATGTCCGAACAATGTAGGAGACTGGGAAGACTAGTAAAACAGCTGCAGAAATAAGGAGATACAACCAAGCGGTTCTCGGAATAAGTAAAACCCATCGGAGCCAGACTGGACAGAAAACGCTAGACACAGGAGAGATGTCGCTGCACTCAGGTCGTGAACAAGAAAATGCTTCACCCACACAAGGATTTATACTGCTGTCCAAAGAAGCATGAAAAGCACTTATAGGACAAGAATCTCGTGGATCCAAAATCATAAAAGGAGTGTTCAAAACAAAGGAAGGGCTTACGATGAAAACTGTCCAGTGGTATCCACTTACTAATGATAGAAACGAAGACGACAAAGATCAGTTTTATGAGACGCTGCAATCGATCGTAAGTGTCCAGGAAAGGACCTGAACATCATGACAGATGTCTCTCCACTAAAATTAGAAATCAGCATGGCCATTAGACAGATCAAGAGTGGCAAAGCAGCAGGACCAAACAGAGTACCAGATGAAGTCAGATACAGCGGTAGCTACAAAACTGACATTTTCCCAGAAGAAAAACTGGCATTTTTCCAGAATGATTTTAGAGGAACAACTACTAATGGATTGGAAAGAAGGATACCAGGTTAAGATACCAAAGAAAAATCTAAGCAAGTGGGAGAACATCAAAGAAAATACACAACTACCATTTCCAGTAAGTTCCAGACAGAATGCTGCTAAACTAAATAAGACTCCGTAGACGCCTAACTTCGAGACCAATGGGCTAGATTTCTTACAGAGTAACAGTGTACGAGACTACAGATCATTGTTGAGTAGTCAAGTGAGTGGAATTTTTCATTATACATCAACTCCCTTGCCTATGAGAAGACGTTTGACAATTTGAATAGGAGAATCTCGTGAAACCTTCTCTAAAACGATGATGTACCTGAGATCATCAAAAACATATGGACTGAATCGCAAAGTTGTGCATGGAGGACAACTGACAGATGCATTCCAAATCAAGACTGGTGTCAGGAAAGGTTGCTCACTTTCGCCCTTTCCCTTCTAGTTGTTGACAGGACTATGAAGATCTCCACATCACAGGAGAAGGACAAAATGCAATGAACATCTAGACAATTTGGACTTCGCATATTATCTTCTATTCCACACACACCAACAAATGCAGATGAAGACAGTCAGTATGGCACCAGCCTCTGCATCAGTAGGCCTCAACATTTACAAGGGGAAAAGCAAGATCCTAAAACACGACACAGCGAGCACCAACCAAGTGACAATGAAAGAGGCGGAAGCATTTACGTACCTGCTCAGCACCATTGATAAACAAGGTGCATATGATTCACATGTGAAGGTTTGGACTGCCAAAGCAAGGGTAGCATTCCTACTATACATCTGGAACTCAAGACAACCGTCACCCAAGACCGAATTTGGAATTTCTAACACAAGCGTTAAGACAGGTTCACTACACGGAACTGGAACTCGAAGAACTATTACAACAAACATCAACATTAATCGGTTGCGGCAGAGAACAAAATCAGCTTTCAGGTGAAGAGGGGATTAGGAAAACTTTGGATAAGACATACATTGTAGGAATCATCAGACTGCATCACAAGGTAAGCCCTAACTTGGAATCCACAAGGCGAAAAAAACAGTAAAACCAGGAAACACATTGCTCCGGGAATTAGAGCCAGACATCGAAAGAATGAATAGCAGTCTGGAATAACTATGAAGAATGGCTCTGGATGGAGTTTGTTAGAGACTCTCAGTTAGTGGCCTACGCTTTATGGGTGGTAACAGGTTAAATAATTATGATTATGTATTTGAACAAGAAACGTGTACACTTGAAGCAGTGTGTAAATCAGTAGTGAATTTTTTCTCAGTTTGATAACTGAGGTGGATATTTAATCTGAATGAATAAAGGAAAGTGGCCTATATCTATGGCTGGGAGTATATTAGCGCTAACAAGAACTTGACATTTATGAAATATGAAATCAGGAAAATCGACATGTATACCTATAAAAACAAGTGGTGAATTGAATGTGAAGGATGAGTCTAAATCTCGTAAAACAAATACCGTAAGCAGGACAGCTGTTAATTTTATCTACACAGAAATGTAGGTTACCAACAGATATCTGAACTGTTAACCGAAGTTAACGGTGTAGCTAAGGCCTTTTCACATAAAATTAAATAGATATTGGACTTAAATTGAATTATTTCATACAACCGTTCAGATACCACACTTACACATTCTGTTGATGTAGATGACTGGAGTGGATCTTGAGACATACAGCGATACATTGGGACACCCGAAGCTGTTGGTGATATTAATCGAAGGGCGACATTATTATTCGGAGAAATAGTGTTAGCAAAAGAACTTGATGTTGGAGTGTTGCACGCTTCTTCGCCATCCATTCGCTGCACCAAACGTTGGAGCTCTTGAACCTGGAAAGTAGACGATACAAAATATAAACATAGACCCTAATCTATGAAAATGAAAAGCTGGCTCAACATATCAAATACAGTAAATTAAACCTAGACTGGACTTTGAACAGCATGGCTAATGTAGAAAATTAACTGAAAACATCAGTCATTTGTAATACTCGTTATTAGCATGCGTTCGAACATTTCTCCTGACATTCTTACTTATATTAGGAAGTTGCTGTGAAAGTAATAACGTAGCATGTTTGTTTTCCGTTCGTTATACATGCTGAACGTTGAATATGATGTTAGATAACTTTTATACTTGTAAGTTAAAATAAACTATCTAAAATCCTTCAGTCTAGTTTTACCTTGGACTATATGTCATCTAGCGGTAGGTGAAAACAGTTAAGATTAGGATATAACGTGTCCATGGGATTATAAATTTTTATTTTGAGGTGTGTTTTAAGACGTGTCTCCCTGGTTGACGTACGAGAAATAATTGTTGGAGACTATGTAGAATTGCCCGAAACCGATCATGGTGCATATTTATTCAAAATTTATCTGGCAATTGTTTAGTGTTTGTCATTCAGCTACAACGTAGGTTCAGGCACATATATGCATCGGCTTATGTGTTTATATTAACACATCACAGTACTGAATTACATCCTATTTCGCGTCTTAATCTAGATTTTTGTCATTGATTTATAATCAGTTATAAACGTTTCTCCATTCATTGATAATTATTGCTGTTTAAATGTGAAATAGGGAAATATAAACTGAGGGCATCCAAGGTTCACGTGTCTGTCTGTAGTAATAATCGACATCTGTTTGATCCATAAAGCCAGTGACAGACGATGAAGATTGTGTGAAGGACTTGAAATGTACAAATGTATCCGTAGTTAGTATGAATGTACCCACGTTAATCAATCCACGTTACATTCTTTTAGACATATGGTTGATTTTCTACTGAAGTTTTCGTTGCATTGATTAGTAAATTAATAGAAACGTAGAAACTACGTAAATGTCTAACCGTTAGTTCTGCTGACGTCTACCAATACATCTAAAAAATCGATTTACAATGTTGGTGTGATCATAAAAAATTATTAGTCCCACGACTTACTCGAGAATCCAACAGGTCGTTCTGACGTTTCAGCGTTTCAACACAAACAGTATGGTCACGATTCAATTTGACCAACTCTTCGATGCACTCAACTGCGCGCTGTAGTATAACTGCCCTGGATGCTTTCGATCCTCGTAAACCCGGGATAACTTCTCGAAGGTCATTATAACTTGTTTTGATACTTGCACGTCTTTTACGTTCAAGTTGGTTGTGATGATCCCGTCTGAAAGTCAACGTAGATTTGGTAATCTAAGATTGTTGAAAACTCAAGGACAGGTACCACACAAGCAATGTTATTTATCAACCTGAGAATGGTTCGTCAAAAGTAACAAACCTTAGTAATAATACATTGAAAACCAAGGAAAAGTTGTGTAATAGATTTACCATATGGAAAATGGTACTTTATAGTGAGGTTTGCAGACCATAAAGAAAAGAACCCATTCTTGGACGGTTAATTTCACGGCAATTTAGGATATAGTGTAGCCATTAGTACAGACTGAGTTCGAACCTAGTTGTACTGGACTTGATAGCAGATATATTGAAGCACGACAGATCAATTCATTTTTACGAATTTAACGATATACGTAGGGTAAAAATGAAGATAGAAAACCCCAGTCAACAAACACGTGAGTCTGATATATTACGAGACACTATGTACGACGTGAACAAGCCATGTCAGCGATTCATTTTAAAATGATAGGATTTTCCTAATCGTTCCATAATACGATAGACACACGCCAGATATCAACGAGTATCTTATATGTTTAAATCAAGATCAGACCGTCATGTAATTACAGAGGTAAAATTAACTATGGTGAGTTACCAGAAAGTAACTTCATTCGACACTCCTACTAGAATACTTATACAAAAACACAAGATTGGTTCTGCAGCGGTATTCCATTAACACCAAGCTCGGTACCAAAACATTGTCATTCATCTTACCTCCTCATTTAAAGGTATGTGTTAAGCCTCTCATTCTAAGAATACTACTTCGCTCGACTAGTTTTTTTCTACCTTGTTGGTGTGAAGAATGCATACTCATCCCAGATCTCGTCTTTAAAGTGGTACTTTGAACATTGCTGAACAAACTTTTACTGAGATCAATGGTGACTAATCTTAATCATTTACTGACTAGTTCGCATTATCATACCTTCAATTGTACCTTTTTAACATCCCAGTATTGTTACTGATAGTAACCGTTTGTAGGGTTTTTCCTCAATTTTTGTAAATGACCATCACCTAGTGCAGCTAATTAGAGAGCACTACAAAACAGTGAACACAAGTAAAGATCCGAACGTCTTCCCACGCGCAAAGAAAGCTTTAACGACCATGTATGCAGTAGGATTAAGTCTGTCTCAAGTAAACATAAACATGTTGGAACACTGGGACTTGTGGTATCCAAAATCACTCTTCAGATGTTTAACCAAGATGGCATCAAACGCATTCTCACGACAGTTGTTTTTGTTACTAAGGTGGTTTCTATAGTAACAGAAGTCATGTAATATCCGGCTCTGAAACGTACGTTTAAGGAACGTCAGTTTCGACCACCGAGATTTACTGGGGTGAAGTTAAGGTAGTACTTACGTGCAAACTAACCACCAATTGTCTATGGCTTTTGAGGTAAACGATACTGAAAGTTCGGGACCAGAGTCAGTACGCAACACTTGGTTTGTATTAGGTTTTACACATCACTGTGATGAGCACAAATATAATCTAAAACCACCATTCTGTTAGCAGATACCAACAAAGTAATTTGTTCGGAATAATATCGGAAACCACCCTACACCTAATGGACATAAATACCTACCACATCACATTTAACTCCCAGGACAAGTTTTCGGGTACCCACCTATCCAACCACCACCCTAGATTGAAACTTAGATGAGAAACACATGTTAATTTTTAGAAGAAACCACAAAAGTCATTAAAAAACTTGCCTGTTGTCTTCACCAGCCTCGACACAGTACACAGCACCACCTTCGCTAATAGATCTCTGGCGCCGCAAGTCAGCACTTTTTCCCTCACTCCCAGTATTACCAAAACTGTGGCTTCCGTAGCCAGAGGATCCAGGTATGTCATCTTCATCATAGTCACTGAGTCCTTCATACCCATCAACATCGTCATCATCCAAGTCTTCGTCATCAACGTCTTCTTCGTAATGCTCTTCATGCATGACTTTCTGAGCGTATGAATTTAGGCATCGAGCCATCACCTTTATTCTCAAACTGCAGGTGCTTGCTGCAAACCTTGGACCATGTTCTTAAGCGGGGCCTTAAGCAAACCACGAGCCGCCAAAGTAAACAAAGCCACTGACTCAAGGTCAGAGTCCATCTTTAGTTCGCATTACTTTGTGTTTGTGAAAGTGATTTCAAACAAAAAACCGACAATGATGAACCTCGACAGTTTTACAGTCAGACGAATTGACCTGTATAATATGTTTTACTTAGCTGGACTAAATAACACACTGCGAAATTAATATAGTAACACAAATGAAAGTGAATATATTTTGAATCAATTTCTAATAAGTGTGCAAATAGTTCATGTAGGACAATTATGAACTTCAAACCTTGTTGATTGGAAGTAGAAGGAGGCTTCTTCACCGAACTTTGATCCTAGTTAATATGAAATAATTTCCAAGTACGAATATTTACACCCCATGTGATAACCGTTTGTTGGTAGTTGAGTGCGGTAGTTGTTAGACGGTACTCAAAGTGGTCTACCTCAGTGCTATAAGAACTTTCCTTTGAACAGATGGGAAGATTTTGGCCCCTTACTCACTGTGTAGACTCACCAAAGGGAAGTCCTTTGTCGGTTTTGTGTATTCTACCTCCAGGTAATCCCTTCATATACGTTACTGAGCGGCAAAAAGCAATAATACGTTTAAATTGAGGGGTTTGTGAAAACCGTGATGAGTCACAATCATATTCCCTCTAATGCTCCCAAAAGGTATTGAATGTAACATTAATAAGTACACGTGAACTAGAAGCTTACGTGGATGATATGATTTTCAAGTAGTCAGTTGAAAATGAACTTTCTTGCCTCATGGACTATGCTCCTGATCGACTGGCGAGTAGAGACTCTAACTGCATTGAAAAACTTGAGTCTTTTCGAGTCTTCTAGTAAGTAGTTCGGTTTCTTCTTGGACAAGAACGGGTGGCTCCAGATTCAAATGACATGGAGGCTACCCCTATGATCCTGACATTTACTCAGTAAGATCTTTTATAAGAAAAGTTGGCCGCTGAAGTACGTTCCTCACCAAAGTGCAGTGGGCGATATTCCCCTTACTTTTGACGACTAACTAAAGGTAAATCACAAGAGTGTTCAGAAGTACATCAAGTGTGTTCTGGTGAAGTCAACTCAATGCCTAACTGGAATTTTCTTTCAACACACCTCTGTAAAGGCTCGAAAATTATTGTAGCGTCTGGTCTGTCTTGTCGTAGAGTTGAAGTAGTGAAATCCCGTGCATCATCTGTCAATATGGGTATCAGACTACTACGTTGATGATAATTCTACTACCAATCAAACCCACTAGCGATTAAACAGATGCTTCCTAGGTTAATTGGAGCTTATCATGCTGGACTAAAGTGGAAGGTAATTTTCGTTATTACGGTTGGTTTAGAAACCAGTTCTAAATTAACAAACATCGTCAAAGGCATTCCGTATGAATAAGGTGACGAAAGAGAACCAACTGCTTAAAACCCAGTCTCACATAGAATGGGTGGTCTTCGTTGATCAACTTTTAATGGCAACATCCATTTCAGCAGCCAGGCTATCCATTTTGGTCGCTGATTCTCCTATTTTTCGGATGTGATGTTGTCCTAGAAAGGTTACAGTCAGTAAAATTTCAATAAATGTACGCAGGACATTCAAGAATAAGTCAAATGATATCACTGCGACGAAGACGTTTGCAGTACTTAAACACCCGAAACGAGCATCTATCTGATCCCTGCTTCACATATGTAATAGGACACTGTTGGAGACAGCTGAAATCATAATATTAGTGTACACATTAACTTTTCTGGACGATATGGTTCAATAACATGTCTTCCAGTATTTGTTCCATACAGTAAACAAAGCATTCGACTACATATTCGACAGAAAGATAACTACGAGCTATTTTGTTTTTGCCAAGAAAATAGTTAGTGATACTGCAATCCATTCTACATCCGGCCTTTTTTGAGTTTCGTTGTTCTGGATTATTCATGTTCGATCACTGCCGCTTAGTCGTCAGTCGAGGAGAACGATAACACGCTTTGTTGGTACTTTTTTGAAAGGTTTCACATCATCCTAGAGGAGTAGAGATCCAAACAGACTCTAGGATCAAAGGTGTGTCACATGTTTTCATGTAAACATACTGAATATCATGGTGCATTTTCCCGTTAGTTTAATTGTTAGACAAGGCATTTTGGTACATTTTTAACATTTTTAACACATATTCCAATCACCTCAGTTAATGTAACTCTTTGAAACGTCATTCAATGACAGACATTTCAACAGAATCCTATGATCAACGGAGTCGGACGCTACCTTAAGGTCAAGGAATACAATAGCAGTTGGACGTCCAAAATTATATCTATCTTCCAGAACCTACTGGGGGTGAATATTTGGTCTTTACATCCACATTCACATCTGAAACCAGACTGTTTTCCTCGGGTTTGCTCTTCACGAACCCTAGTTAGGCACTGAAGTACTGTTAAGCCTAATATGTTAGACACTACATCAGTTAAACTGATTCTCCCGTGGCTATCACAAGAGGGTTTTTATTCTTTCTTATAAACAGGGACGATCAGAGATAGAGACCAGTCATGGGGGTTGACGTCCAGTTTCTAGACTTCAGCTAAGATCCCAGCTAATTTAACTGCTAAAACTGGACCACGCCTTTTAAAATCTCAGGGGTTAGTTCATCAGGTCCTATTGCTTTAGGCTGCTTATGTCCTTTTCAACTTCACCAAGAGTTGAAAGAACTAAATCAGTTTCCTATTCAGACTGCTTGGAGACAGTGAGTAAGTGAAGTGTGGCTCAAAGTCAGTTGAACTGTTCCCTAAACTATCCTGCTTATCGGCTTAATCTCCTAGATCGAGAGCCGATAACAGTCCCAGCTCTTTCGAGATAGTTCCACTAGCGTCTGGATTCCCAACATACATTTCCTTGATAGGTCTGAACGGTTTTCTACTGTTACTTATAGCCGCTGTCTTCTCCACATGTGTATTTGCTAACCAACATTGTTCACAATCGTTGAGCAGGCTTCTTATCAGTGTATGATTAAGCTCCGTCAGCTCTTCATCTTTTTCAGACCCAGATGAGATATATTTCTGTGTATCTATCTGTAGAAGTCCACTGGTGTTTCTAAGTTTTAGATTTGCGTTACTGACAGATGTCAGCGTTTTGTAGATATATCAAGTTACATCGGGGTGGATATCGCTTATCTGGTTGACCAACTGCTCCTCTATTTTTTCATGAGATGTGATTTCGCCTTTTTCATTAGGAAGTTGGACAAGTATTCAATGGATAAGTGTAGTTATACAAATCATAAATTACATACAGAGGTGAAGAAATTAGGACGATAATTGCCGTTAATCTTGGCCATTTACTCAACAGAGGACGCAAAAATAAAGAACTGTATCAAATACTAAACAATCCGGATGTGGGTTTTTTCTAAACAACAGAAGCCACATTAATTCTCCTTAATAACCCTCATTATTATCAGTCAGTCAGCTACAACGTAGAACCAGGCACATATATGCATCACTCCAAGTTGCCACACCTCATTAGCACAAGAAGTAGAAAACCGGATTCATAGAAGTAATTAATTCAATGATGGTAATATATAAAAGAAAGATTGCGCATAAGGATATAGTCCAGGAAGAAAGAATTAGTTGGCAGAAAGAAAGATATGAAACGTTTTTAATCTCTTAGTTTAAGGGAGGACAGAGAGTGTATACACCGACGCCATTGTGATCGATTCTGAGCCATGTTACCCAGAGTTTCCAACCATTGGTTACCATAGTCACACAGACCACAAACAAATAGTCTTCATCTACCAGCATGGCTCAGACAAGAAGTTAGTGACTTCAAGTGCTGATGTCACGTTTTGGTTTGGCCGCCCCTAACATTCCCCCAACCGTCTCCAACATTAGTCAGTATTGCTCGTCGTGGCAATCAGAGTTCAGACATACGTAACACATGACCCAACCATCTCAGCCAATGAAGATTCACAACATGATCAACTGATCATTCCCTAATACCCTACGTCTAACCTCAATATTACTTACCTGGTGATCCCAGCAGATGCGAGCAATATTTCTAAAGCATCTGCGGTCAAATACTAGTAAGTTGCGAGTATCTTGAGGTTGCAGATATTATGATGAACTAGTCAAAGAAGAATATTTCTTTACTTAGGTTGTCTTTTAAAATGTGTAAATAGGAAAATTCGGTTCACTGAAGTCATCCAGTTGATTTGAATGTGTAATAATCATGTACACACCAGTACCTGGATGAACTTCTTACTAACATAATATTATAAAGTTTCCGATTGGTCTCCAACCGATCTGACCTAAAAATTGTGGATGTCGAATTTTAATTTAGTAGGTGGGTGGCGTTAAGTTCACTTTGATATCAGAAGATCTTGAGTTCAATCCCACTCCGGTCAATAGGTGTATGCGTCTGAATCTCAAGTTGGTACAAACAATCCATTCTACGATTCCCCAATGGATGCCAGGTTGTGGGAAAAACGTGTTCAGATGTAGACATACTAAAGTGGGAACCAAATATTTCCTGATGTAGAGATGGCAAACAGCTGCAGTCACTCCATTTCCATCTGTTAATGAAGTAAAACACTGAAAATCAAAGCCATGAAACAGTGAACAAAATAATTTCAAGCGATATCTTTTCCTAAATATTTGTTATAAAAGACCAAAATTATATGACTTCTGTAACCTACTGTTAACATCGATGTGAGTTTACTTCTGTAACTCAGTGCTAGAACGTAAGCGTTTGTACACTTAATATAATAATTTTCAAAGCAATAAAAGAACGATCTTCCAGGCCCAAGTTTCATAAAGGGAGAGCATGCAAATGATGTCATATCTTTTATTTTGGGAACAACCTCGACCTATAAGACTCGTAGATCATCAACGATCTCTGTCGAATGATTTGGGGCCTACTCCAGTTAGACGGGAATGGTGTGACCACGAGCTAGCTTCGGATTCG